GGACAAGTGAGGCAGATCTCTGCTTTTGAGTTCCTGTGCCCAGTGCTGGAAATGCTGATTTCTGTTTAGCTTAGAAGCATTTTGTTTACAGTGGCTCTTGTCTAAATATTTCAAAATTTAAGTATAAAGAGTAAATATAAAGTACATTTTATTCTTTGGGATGATCACAAATGTAAGATTTTTTGAGGAAATTAAAAATTTTAAGTGTTCCTAAAATTGGGAAAAAAAACCCCAAAACCTGAAAACATTCTATGGACCCAGCTTACTAGGAAAAATACATTTTAGAATAACATTAGCTGAGCTGTATGTTTCTAATTTAAAATTAAAAGTAGAAAAGCTCAAATGGAAATAGGAATGCATTGGACAGGCTGTTCTACACCTTCCGTTCTCTCCTGAGCCTCCCTGCAGGTCACACCTAAACATGCTGTAATTGGCTTTTTATTCTTTTCTTACACGATGTAGATTTTTTTTCCTCATCCTTTTAAATTTAAGGATTACTTCTAAATTCTGTCCTAATTAAATTTTTTAAAAAATGCGTGTACGTGTGCACGCGTGCGGCTTCATAGGCCATCTGTGAGCGCGGAGCTGCGCAGCACGGTTGGTCTCTGCGCTGGGTGAGGGCAGCGGCGCTGCGTTCGTTCGGGGCGGGCTTCAGGGGTCTGCCCCGGCTTCACGCGGCCCTCGGTCTGCGCTGCTCTCCGTGTGCCCGCTCTGTGCCCGCTTCGGCAGTGCTCTTCCTAGCTTCTGTTCGTGGCGTCCAGTGTGCTGTGATAATGACAGCTTTTCTAGTGACTTGTTTATCTGTGTGGATGGCACCTCTGGAAATGTTTTTGGGATAAAATGCATGCGCTCTAGTACTTTAGTCCTTCGGGAACTTTGTTTTGCTTTTTTTTCAGCTCTGAATTATGTTCCAATAGTTGAGGCTATTGGTAAATAACCGTGGTTAAGGGAGCTGCATTGATCTCATAGGCAGATAGGGCGGAGCGCGACCGGTCTTCCCTTCTCCTCCCCACTTCATGCAGTGCCAGTGGCCCGTGTCTGGGCAGCCCAGGCTCCCCTGACTTCCCGGTGCTGTTTCACGAGCCCCTTTCTTTTTCACTTCTGTTGAGTTCGTCTTGTCTCTTAAATGACAAATCTTATGTCCTTAAGACAGAAGGGGCACCATGGCTTGGAAGACCCTGCAGAATTGTGTTTCCCCCTCATTCTTACAATGCACTTTTTTCTTTTGCTTAATATACACTTATGTGCTTTATTTGCTGCTGCTGGCCTGGTTTTGATAAAGAAAGGGCAGTAAATGATCTAAAACAGGGATTTTTCTCCCCCCTCAGTTGTATTTGCCTTTCTCCTTCTTCCTTCCTCTCAGTCCCCTGTAGACCATCCTCCTCTTAGGTGTCTTGCTCCAGGCCTTTGTAGCATTTACCAGTAGCCTATATTGGGGTGCTGGGGAGGAGACATCTATACTGAGAAATACATATGGGTCAAGGGTTGGCCAATCCTCGTGTCTCCCTGAGAAATGATGTGACAGTAAGAGTTTGAGAAGGAAGAATATGCTCTAACTAAGTATTTCAAATTGGAACTCCTAAAAACAGTTTACCCCATACAATTGGTTAAGAACGATGTCTGAATTCTGAATAATACTGTGTGTATAGGAAAACAGGTTTGGAACCATATAAGTATGTAGAACGTTTTAATGAAAAAGTATGTAACATACTTACTTATTTCAAGATATGTATCTCCTTATCGGATTTGTGACAAGCAGAGTTTTCGTACCTTGCGTTGGTCAGTTGTCTTTCCACTACTTTCTTTTCCCAGGAATTTCCATTTTTCACCTTGACGGCCTTTCCTCCTGGATTTCTCGTGCACGTTGGTGGTGTTGTTAGTGCACGTTCTGTGAAGCTTTTAGATCGAATCCACAATCCTGGTATGTTTTCTAAGAAGGTTTGGTTTTACTGTCTTCCTTAATTTAAATTATTATTAAAATTGATTTTTAAAAATTTTGAAAGCAAACATAATCTGAAAAGAGAAATTTAAGCAAAGTATAAACTGGCACATGTACATAATATCTTCAGTAATCTCAATTCAGATAAACTAAGTGTAAATATATTTTAGTTATTTTGTATGCAAATCAGCTGAGCAGATCTTGATCTATTTTTGGCTGAAGTATTTGAGGGAATCATTAAATAATTTTTGAGTCAGGTATTTTATTTGGTTAAGGGAGGTAAAGAGTTTTACAATTTGACTTTCATGGCCATTACATTAAGATGTTAATTATTTTCACGGGCAGTACCTCTATAGATTATTTAATTTCACAAAAGAGGTAGTCTCTTAAATTGTAAATGTGAGCACTGTGTAATATATAGGAACTTAAGAAAGAAACCCCTGCAAAACCCAACAAGTTAACATCTTGTTCCTGGTTTGTCTCTGGTTGTCGGCGTAGCAAAGTGTAGCACAGTAGCTCATTCTTGGAGCACTGGCCTAATGCTGACAGGAGCCCAGCATCACAGGCCTGAGGTTAGAGATGCTCTGCTGAGTTCTCTAGACCTAAAACAAGCGTGAGAAATGACAGTGACTTACTGTGCAGACTGTGCTCTTGCATCTTTCATGGACTGGATGCTCGGTTATTTGCTGAAGCATCTTAAACATGAAGTTAGATTAGTACTTTGGTTTGGCACCTGTGTATTTATACCGTGGTGGAAAACTGCAGTTCTTCCAGTAGCCTCTTGATAACACCGAAAAGAAGGAAGGAATGCTTTGAAATCAGTGGGTGGAAAACATCGCAGATGGCACTGCTGAGCATAAGACCATTCGTATTCTTTAAAATTTAAATTTAGCCTGTGCTCTGGTTTGCGCTCATGTGAGAAACAGTGGAGCTCTTCTGACATCAGAGAGATCTCAGAGAGGCAGCGCTGATCAGTCTACGCAGCTCTGTGCTTAGCAGATGCACCATTTAGGACCAGTGCTTTGTTTTATTTTCCCTGTTAGCAACTTTTATGGTTGACTTAATAGCTCATTTTCCTGGGTACTTGTGTACTCTGTGGTACTCAGATGGGTGCCAGTTTACTATATTAAGATCTGGAAGATGATGTCAAGTTCTACAGCTTTGTTTAGGAATTTCATTTACTTGGGAGGTGTAAGGAAATACTGAGCCATGAAAGCTGATGTTCACTGAGTGACTCACGTCCCGTTCCCTGTGTTTTCTGTGGATCACATTGACTGATGTTTTAATAATGACATCCAGAGACATGGCACCTCCAGAAAGGATGTCAGAGTGTACTTAGTTGATGTTTTCTGTTTAGTGAAAATTTTCTAATTCTTTTTTTTTTTTTTTTGTCTCCATGTAGTTGCATACAATTTAGAGCTTGGAAGAACAAATGAAAGTTCCTTAAATTAGTTTTAAAGAGGGATCAGTATTTAAAATATGACCTCATTTTCACAAAATTCTGTTTTTGAGGGTTTGCCATGGCTACTAATTCATCCCAACCGTGTAAGAAATGTCAGAATCCAGGCCCAGGAAAGACACAGGGAATCCGTACAGAGTGTGTTTTGTGTATTGTAATTATCAGGTCAACTGTTTTTTCCCTTCTCCCTTTTCAGAATCGGTTGTCCATTCACACGTAGAAATTCTCAGATATTATTAAGAATTTTATGTGCATATATATGTATAAATGCTATGAAGGGGTAGGCATAGAAATTATATTTTTATTTTTGCTTGTTTCTGTCAAATACATATCAAGTATACTAATGGCTCCATTATCTTATTTTGGTTTAAAATAAACATTTTTTGGGTTGCTTTACATGTGCATTACACAATAAAAAGGACCATTTTCTTAAGAACGTTTGTTCTTTTCCAAGCCCCTTGAGTAATTTTTTATGAAAATAATTAATTTGTTGAGAAAAGCTGAATGTTAAAACTTGATGAAACTCAGGATTAGACTTACCATAATGACGTCCTAGTGGGATCAACACTGACTCTGCTGAGAGAGACTGATGATCCATTGAGATACATGTGCCAGATTAATCTTAAACAGCTGGTTTTGAATAGTGAGTGAGAGTATAAAAGGAAAATAATCTTATTTTAAAACCACTACCTCCTGTTATAACTGTGGATTAATATTTCAGAGTTTTAATAGCTTCTTCCTTTGTTGAGTACTAAGCAAACAAGCATAAGGAAGGGAAAGAATGAAGGGTTAAAATGAGAAGCAGTGAAGTAACCGGACTAGCTGGTGTAGATGACTGTAGCCTGTCTCCTCTGCTCTTCTGTCTCTACTCCGATTAACTCTGCTGTCTGTGTCTTTCCAGTTCCTGCCCAGTGCTGTTGTCAATTATGTTCTTGTTTCTAGTTTTGTTTGTTTTTTCCTACTATTCTGCACCTAAAACTGATCTACTAATTTGCTGTTTTGAACTCAGCCTTTGTCGGAATTATGGGTAACACAAGATCTTACAAACTGCTAGACTGGAATAGTTTCAATTCAGGTATTTTAATGGTCATTGAGTGCTACATATGCTGACAGAAATTATGGCAGCTCAGTGAAGTTTTTAGGAATGTTCTAGATTAAATAGGATTAGTATCAATTCAGCTATACAGATGCATCTTGCAATATGTCACAACTTGTAATTTGCATGGAAATGCAAATATAAAAATATTAACTAAAATGAATCAAAACTGTATCCTGATTTGTGAATGACATTTCTCACATGGCTAACTTTCAGAGTGATAATTAAATTCTGTTTATACATTTTGGCCAGTTTTTTCATATCTGGTAAATAGTATAGCCATTCCTTTTGTATATAATTAACAGTATTTATATTAAGTATATTAAATGACTAGTGTGATAAACCTTAAAACATTTAGATTTAATAGACTATATTTGTTCTAAAAATATGTAAAATGTAATTTTAGCATTTCTATTTATAATTCTAGAAGTTTTCCAAAATTTAGTAGCAAGGACAGATTTGGGGAGGAGAGTAACAACTTCTATAAGCTTTACTCCTTCTACAACATGAGGGAGTTTTTCTTTTTAAGTAATTTGAATAGTGTTGTGGCCTTTAAAAGAGCCAAACTAAGAAAATGTTACAGCTGATGATGTGGTTTAGTAATGCCAGTTAATTTCTTTTTTATATAAGCATATTTTCTTACTAATAAAAAATACCTAAAAATTTTATATTATCAATTTTTAGAATTGCAGAAGTGTTTTAACTAAAAAAGCTACATTAAAAAATTTTTTTTTCAGGTCCTTGTGACATTTTGTCTTGTAGAAAGGCAAGTGGCCAAAGGGCTCACATTTTAGATGATACTCTGTCTTTTCACTATTATAAACTGTTTTTTGTACTTAGATGTCAACGAGAAGTTCTAATGTGGGCAGCATGTTTAACTATGAAATAATTCATGTTTATGATACAGATAGACGAGGACTAAGTCTGGTAAACAACATGGTCATGTCAACCTTGCAAATGTAGCAATCTCAGTTAGTGAATCTTTAAAGAAATTACCTCTATAGTCTAGATGAGGTTTTGCCATCATGCTGACATTGATTCAAATTAAAATAATCATGCTCCTTTAATTGATTTCTAGAGAAAGTTAAATATACCTATTGGATTCATTTTATAAAGTAAGAATATATTTTAGCTTGGCGGGTGGTGCACACCTTTAATCCCAGCACTAGGGAGGCAGAGAAAGGCAGATCTATGTGAGTTCAAGGCCTGCCTTGTCTACATAGTGAATTCCAGGCCAGCTGGGGCTACAGCGAGACCCTGTCTCAAAAAAAAAAAAAAAAGTAAGAATATATTTTAATACATGATTAGCTTTAGTGTAGTTAGAAGAAAAACAGGTTTTTTATAAAAATGATTTGATCACAAAAAATTTAAGTAAGTGAAGTCTTGTCAAACAACAGGTTTTTAGGGCATGGTATTTGTTGGTCAGATGACAGAAAGGTCTTGGAAGTAGAATGGGCAAAAATTAAATCTTCCAGGCTGAAGAGATGGCTCAGCAGTTTTGACCATTGGCTGCTCTTGCAGATCACCCAAGTTCGATTCCCAGCATCCACATGGCAGCTAACAACTGTCTGTAACTCCAGTTCCAGGGGATCCAACCCCTTCTTCTGACCTTGCAGGCATTGCATTACGCAGGTGCACCTACCTACATGCAGGCAATGCACTTGTACACAAAAAGTAAAAATAATAAACGTAGTATTTTTTTAAAAAATCAAATCTCTCAGACTCAGGATGATGTCCCATGCAAGCAGTTTAGTAGTCTGGCCAGGACAACATGGTTGAAGAAGCAGTGTATCTTGCCATCCCTGAATCCCGTCAGGTGCTGAGGACATGTGGGAGAATGATCGGGGCTCATGCCTGCAGTCCTGGCATGGGGGCGCACAAGGAAGGAGGGTTGTGAGCTAGAGGGCAGACTGGGCTACAGAGAGAGTTCAGAGCCAACCTAAGCTACAAAGCAAGACTGTGCCCTCCCAAAAATGAACCCCCCAAAAGTATAGAATATTAAAAGAATATAAAGATGACATTTTCAGCCTAAAGCCTTCTTTGATTGGGGCCTTACATAACATTTCTGTAGAAATAAGGGCTGATTTTGATAATAGTTTAGAAAACATAGCTTGATAATTCTGAAGAAAATATTATTATTTGATAAATATAGTCAAATAATTTTATGTTTCTTTTATAATTTTGGAGTATTTAACCATTCCTACCCACAATATTAAAGAGTCAGGAATTGACCACATTAAAAAGAAAAGAATTGTTGATACTGTTTTTACTTTAGATCTCTTCACATTTTATTATATTGAATTATATGACACCTCAGTCAATGATTCCAGTCTTTTAAGAGAAGAGGCAATACCATATCAAGTACACTTTGCAGTTAGAATTGCTGTTTCAGAAACATTACATATTACATCACATAGTACTGCTTTGCAAAATATGAGATATGTGTCCCAGCATCATTTACAGCTATGTGCTGCATAGTGACCTTGTGGTCAGTGCTAGATCACATATGCTGGCCCCCTAAGATTATATTGCCTCATGATCTAGCTGCCTTTTTAAGTGCATGCTATGATGCGCGGTGCTGGAAATTGGCCAGTTTGGGCTATACAGCTTGACAGATACTAGAGGGCTGAGATCCCCAACCATTGTGCCTTCACAAAGCAGGTACTCTTGGAAGGCAGAACACTGTGAAATGGTACTCTATGTTGTGTGGTATGTGAAGAGTTGAAGAGCTGTGTTGAAGAGCTGTGGGGTAAGTCTTGGGCTCAGATCTGAAGGCTGTCTATAAGACTCACAGGTTCACGTTTCCTCCAGTAATGCCCGCCCCATGTTAACACATACTCTGTGCGCAGTTGTAACCCTCCCGTCATCTGTGGAGCAGTGTCTTAGCCAGCCTTCCTTTGATGATTTTATAGTTGTTTTGTAGGTCCTCACTGAGAAGCTGTCTTCCACAGAGTACCATCTGCCTTGGTTTAACCCTCTTCTCCTTTTCTTTTGCTTTGCTCTTGTTTTATGATAACTACAGTGAGAACATTTTTTACACAGCTGGAAGAAGTGAGCTTTTCTCACAGCTGTATGGTTTTATTGTTTTTTTTTCTGTGACCTTTTTCTGTCCTGGTAAGGGCATTTGAGAGAAGCAGGGTGGGTCTCACTGCTTGAAAGGAGGCTGAAAGACTTATAAGTCTTATCTGCCACTGTGTCCCTAATAGATAAGTGGCCCAGTGCTTGGGGGTGATAGGAGAGCTAGTTTTATTGAGCTACATGTAGCAGACACACATCTAAGTGCTTTTGCAGTAGATTGTTTAATTACCAGAAAAGCTCTCTGAGGCAGGCACTAATCCCATTTTGCTGTGGATCAAGAAGAAACAGCAGTTTCCTTGAGTCTGACTAGAAAGTGAGCCACTGTTTTAGCCTGAGTGCTGTGGCTTCAAGACCTACATTCTTAATCCTAAGTGAGTAAAATACCATGACTCTAAAATCAGCAGGACAATTAGTTGAATATGGTAAGTGGAACAGGCTTTTGCCAGCTCTCAGCTCAGGGGAGAGGCCTTTTCTTCAGACAGTATGTTTATTTAATGTATTGTATCCTGAATTGGTAAGGCAAATTATTTAAAAGTAGATAATCTTTGTTTATGAGAATTTTTTTATTATTTTATTTTTTAGAAGAAGCATTTCATTACAGCTTTAACATATTCAGTAACAATTTCCAGAGTAAGGATACATCTCTTTCAAAACTGGCTGTAAATTTTTAGGTTCACAGTTGAATTAATATGGTTATACAATATTCAGCTCAGTATAAACCCCAGGGAAGGTGCTGACACCAGGACACTGGAGGCTGTGCAGCCCAGGAAGCAAAAGGAGGTGAGGGCGGGACCAGGCCCAGAGGGCTCCTGACGACCAGGAAAGGTGCTGGCACCAGGACGCCCGGAGTCTGTGCAGCCCCACTATTTTTAGGTGAATCAGAGATGTTAGAACATAAACATTTTTTCTTCAATCATAATAAACTTTAGTTATCATATAAGCTTTAATGCTTTGAAATTAGAAAAGACTGCTCTTTTTTGTTAATCAGAATTATATAATTTTTAGAATCCTCATATTCCTTTGGGAGAAAACATTCAGGTAAACCCTAGAAAAATACTTTATTACTTTACAAAATACTCAGTTTTAAGAAAATCAGCATTAGTAGCCGGCTATGGTGGCACATGTCCTTAATCCAGCACTTGGGAGGCAGAGGCAGGTGGATCTCTGTGAGTTTGAGACCAGCCTGGTCTACATAGAGAGTTCTAGGCCAGCTGGGGCTACAGGGGGACCCTGCCTCAAAAAGACAAAAAAGAGAGCGTGAGAGAGCAAGAGAGAGAGTTAGCTGGTGTGTAAGGAAATATCATCTACACTTGTTTCCTTATTCGTTCATTTTAGTTTTCAGCCAACCTTAAACATTTGTTTAGTTAGTGGCTGCTTGTGCTTGCTTTCCAAGAGTTGATCCCGCTGTTGGGTCCTAGGAACACCCCTAATTAAGCCAGGCAGGCGTCCTGTTCACACAGGCAATCTAGTTTAATTCAATACCAAGTGGAGATAGAAGGAAGGCTGTCCTGGAGTGTGAATTCTGCTGGTAATCTCAGCAGCTCTTCTCTGAGAGCTATTCCTGCAGCACTAGGAACTTCAGCTCAAAGTAGTTGGCACCTTTGAGTCTCAATTTTAGTGAGTTTCAGGAAGCAGATTAGTTCAAGCAGAAAGATACTTTAGCATTTCTCTGTTACAGTGATTTGGAATAAATATTGAGTTACCTTATATATATAAGCAATGAACTTTCACAGTTAAGGAGTAGATCATATATCTGACTCAAAAAAAAAGCAGTCTTTATTTAGGTCCAGTATGGATTGCATGCCAGCTGCCATGCTGACATCTTGGTCTTGATGCTTTCTCTGCATTTACATATCACTTCCTTTGTAACAAGGCTCTTTGATCTGGAACTAATTCCTACACAGTGTGAGGCTGTATCCCCCGTTGAACCTGAACTCTAAGTTCTGTTATATTAGGGAGATTTCTTTGATAATGTTATTAGGAATCTTACTTTCAGGTTTTGGGGATGTAGCTTTTCATATTCCTTTTCAAGGTAGATTGTAGATTATCATATTGAAAGACTCTACTTGATTGGACGCAACATATTTATCTCCTCTTACTCATTTTTAAGTTAGGTTGAGCTGGGCATGGTACTTCATATGCATAATCCCAGCATGTAGAAAGTTGAGGCAGGAAGATTGGGATTTGTGGCTAACCTGGGCTACATACCAAGTTCTTGTTTCAGGGAAAAACACAAAATTAAGTTGAATAGCCATCCTCTTTTTTTTTTTTTTTCCTTTCATTTTCAACCATATTAAAAGATTCTCCAGGGCAGGGTTTCTTTCTCCTAGAAGTATGTAAAAACAACTGACATCAGGTAGGCAAGTGTTTCTTAGTCATAAGTGTATAACTGCCTAACATCCCCAAAGGGTTGAGTTTAGTAAAGGCATGATGAGTTGCATAGATCATGGCTTTACTCTGAGATCACATTGGCATTTTAGGAATCTGTACCTCAGAAGCAAGTGCAGTAACAGAAAGATGGCAAATACTGCGCTGTGACCGTGTTCTAAAAAGTAACAGTAGAAAAGGAGCATGTTCTCCAGGCAGTCCATGTGCAGGACCACAGACCCAAGCAACTCAGTCATGTGTTAACCTAGAACGCAGTTCATGTCATCTGTAAAGGAGTAAGTTAAACTATTTGTGTAATCTATGAAAAGTTTGACTCGGGGCTGGAGAGATGATCAGTGGTTACGAGCAGTGACTGCTCTTGTAGAGGACCTGGGTTCAATTCCCAGCACCCACATAGCGGTTATGAACCATCCTTAACTCAAGTTCCAGGGGAATCTGACGCCCTCTTCTGACCTCCATGGGATTGCACAACCTGGGTGAACTCACATATATGCAGGCAATATACTCATACACATAAAAATAATAAAATATTAAAAAAAAGTTTGACTCACAAGAAAAGCTTAAAATAGTATGAAATATAATTTGTGTAATAATTAAAAATTAATTTTCCCTAAAATCATACCTTTTATAATTATAAATAGTTCTGTGGATGATTGTGAGGAACATGGTATTTAAAGCAGAGATTTTTTTTTCTTACTGTCTTTGAAATGCTTATTAAAATATGAGTTCACATCTCAGCTGTATATTCTTTAACGGCATTCATGTGCTGCATGAATAATTGCCATAAATTTTTAAGCCAGACTCTGTTTTGCCTTTTATAAAAGTATGACAGAGCTTCAAATTTATACTTTGGTAGGATGTCTAAAATAATCCAGATTCACTAGTGTGCTTTCTATAAAATTTTGTTAGCAGTTTTTAAACTTGTATAAAAAGTTTCTTGTAGGAACTAAATACTGTGCTATTTCTGAATTTTTATTGGCAGTAATTTTGTCTTAATCATAAATACTCCTTGATGACCTTGTGACTCATTTCTCGTGTGATTGTAATGTAGGCTTTGATGATAAAATATAGCTTTAATACTAAACAAATTGATTAATCTTAATTTCACTGTAACTAAATAACTTCTAAATTTAGTACCCACAAAATTCATCCTCTGCTTCTTGCATACAGTGGTAGTTCTGACGGTCACCACGGTGACTGGTTTGTGATGAAGTGCTCCCTCCTGTCTGCTTGCCTTGCTCTCACCTAGAGTCTAGGCCATTACTTTCTGTGACCATTCCAGTGAGCTGCCATAGTTTTCAGTCTGTACTGTCACTGATCAAGCATGCGCCAACATATCACTGTTTCTGGCTCCTCTGTGCTGAATCCGCTTTGCAAACCCTTTGTTCCTGAGCTTTTGCTTTTGCCCAAATCGGAATATACCAGAGCTCTTGGGGTGTGGACACACGCCATTCGCTTCCTTAGCTCCATGTTATGTAGCTCAGGCGTTTCCACACTTGTCAGTACTGTGTTAAGTACAGTAATGGCATCCCATGCAGTTGTCTGGCTCGTGTGTCCAAACGAAGGCTGCTTGTGAGCTTGTCCGAGGATGTGAGCGCTCCACCTCGCTGCATTCGGCTCTTTTTTTACTTTAATCAACCACTTATTCTTTCATGATGTTTGGTTTAATTATCTGGTTATTTTATGTGTTATACCAAGGTAAGTTTGTAAAGTAACTTTCTATTCTATGTGGTTACACATTATCTCAAAGAATTATTACATATTTTTTCCATCTGACATGCTGGGTATTTCTAAATAAGTATATTTTGAACTTAAAATAAGTAGCTCCCTCCAGTTTTCATTAATTTTTAAAATGGTTGTATAGATTGCTTCCTAAAAATTCATTTTTAAAAACAGAATTTACCATGTATTACTTGTGGTGCAGGTACAGGCAAAGCAAATAGGAGAAAAATCTTTTAAACAGTAGAACATACAGTTAGTTACTTGGTTTAGAAAATAGTATGTTAAACTCCAGAGTGATTTAAAAAGTAAATAGAAAATTCCATAAATGAGCTTAAGAAAAGTTAAGACTTACTTGATGAAATGCTTCAGTAAGACTATTATTTTCTAAATTGAAAGAAACTTCTATTTGCAATACCGTTTTTCTTAGAACTACGTACTTGAACAATAATAGTTCATCTCTGTTACAATTTCCTTTTAAGAAAGGATGATATTAAGTGGGTGTCTAAATTGGTATACAAACATACATGTCCCGCCAGGGCTGGTGGCTCACACTTGTAATCCCAGCACTTGGGAGGCTGAGGCAGGAAGGTTGCATCAAGCTCTAGCAGTTTGAGCTACAGTAGTGAATTTGAGACTGATCTGGACAAGACCCCGACTCAAACACCAGCCAAAATAAAAAAGGCACATGTCTTATTAACCACAGTGAAAATGGGCTTTAAAGTGTATTCGTGCTGCTGATGTACACTTCAGTTAGGTGCACGAACAAGTCTTTGACAGTGCTGCATGTGCAAAACGGCCACCTGGTTGTTTTCCGGATTTCTCAGTTCCTACTAGTGCGACGCTGTGGTTCTGGTTTCTTCCTCCTTTATTTTCTCTTTACTTCCATCTTTTCCTCAGTTTCCTGACGTCTACACTTGTCTTCTGAAGGAAAGGTTTAGGGTAGCTCTACCTGAGATCCAAAACTTTGCTTCCAGAACTGGCCGGCACCGTTCCTAGTTCTGGCTTTGTCGCCTGGTTCTCCCTTTGCTGGTCTCCTCCTTGTGGAGAAGACGGAGTCCGTAGTAGGAATGTGAGCGATAGCAGACTTCTTAACCTTTCTTTGCTTTGCTGTCTTCACTGCTTTACTAGTGAGTATAATTCTTCACTTATTTTGAAAAGCATATTTGGAAAATGTGATCTACACTATGTGGAAACAGAAAGCCATGTCTGCATGGGCTTCTATGCTAGCAGCATTGTCTATATGGGAGATTCACAGTGTGAGCTCAGCACTTTGTTCTCAGCTAAGTTTTCAAGTTATTCCCAAATGGGCATTGACCACAAGAAACAAATCAGGATATGATAAATGTAGTAGATCATTCTGGCTTGTTTGTTTGTTTGTTCATTTATTTATTTATTTATTTATGTTTGGTTTTTTTGAGACAGGGACTCCCTGTAACCCTAGCTGACCTGGAACTCATTGTGTAGACTGGGCTGGTCTCAAACTCATAGAGGTCCGCCTGTCTCTGCCTTTCAAGTGCTGGAATTAAAGGTGTGTACCACCACGCCCAGCTGATCATTCTGTTATTAACATCTTTGCCCATAATAAATTAGTATCATTTGCAACTGTTGCTCATGAGCTAAATGCAAGTGATTAAGAAGTATGTATGACCACTCCCCATTCATAATGCCCCGGTACAGGTAGTGTTAGATTTCCCTACAACAATAAAATAGAATTATTCTATGTTGAGCATTTTTTTGTTATTATTACTACTAGGGATTGAATCCAGTCCCCCACGTGCTAGCTTTCCTACCAGTACAGCTCTAGCTCCTCAACAGTATTTTTGTTTTTGTTGCGGTAGGGATCTCAGTTTGTTGATCAAACTGAGTTTTAAACTCAGACACAAATGAACTTCCTGCCTCAGTTTCCCAAGTAGCTAGGTCTACAGGCACCATGCTCATCTAAGTCACTTTTGAGTTTACAGAACTATGTAGGGAGTTTTTAATGATGTGTTTGAAATTTTCCCTTCTATACATTGACCACATCATTTGTGTTGACCTTCTTAATGTCCGTTCCTTGTCCACACCCCTCCCAGGTTCTTCCTTTTGGACTGGCTCATTCCCTTGGTACCCTGCTGCTCTGCCCTCGGACTTACAGCTCTACAGAAGAATGGCAGTTGTAAACATCGAGGAATCTTTGTCTTGGAAAGAACCCAGAATGTAGTGGGGTATAAAAGACTAGGTGACAGAATAGTAAATGAGAATTTAAATTAAATTTATGGCTATGACACATGAGGTATTTGCTCAGTGAAGTGGGATTTATAGGGAATTCTCTCAGTTTAGCATCTGAGCCGGGCACGGTGGCACATGCCTGTAACCCTAGCACTCTGAAGGTGGAGGCAGGAAGATCAGTAGTAGTTCAAGGTCATCCTCAGCTAGAGTGAGTTTGAGTACAGCTTGAGCTATAAGAGATCCTGTTTCAGAAATGGTAACAAGCAAGCAGACAAACAAACAAAAACCCCCAAAGAATGCAGAAAGTTGGGTTCTCCATGTTAAGCTGTATCTATTAAAATCCATGCCTGTAGAGTGTCCCTTAAAGTAATAAAGCAAATAGAGCCAAGTGGACTGTTTTCTAGCAACCAAGTTTAAAATGCTAAATCCTTTTTCTTTAAAAAATGGGGAGTGTAAGATTCTTCTGTGAGGCAGTGCTGCTTTACCTCCCGTAGCTGTGCACATCGTATATATTTCTTGTTCTTTTATATAATGTGCTACTGAGTAGTCAACTGATTTAAAATTTATTTTTCAGATGAACCAGAAACTCGAGATGCCTGGTGGGCAGAAATCAGACAAGAAATAAAGTCACATGCTAAAGCATTAGGCTGCCATGCTGTGCTGGGCTACAGCGAATCAACCAGCATCTGGTAAGGACAGCAGCAGCTCGTGCCTCCGGATGCTGCAGTTGACCTTTGTCATCTGAACGGGGAAGCCTCCATGCGGATACGGGAAGCCTCCATGCGGATACGTGAGGCGGGGGGTGGTTCTGGGAGTGCAGCTCAAGTTCAGTCAGCCGTCTTCCCACTTAATCTCTGTGAACTTGAGAGCCTCAGTTTCCCTATTAACAGGGTGATGAAACAAACCATGTGTGCAGGTCTTCTAGGGGCAAGTGAGTACATAACACTGGCACTAGCAGGCCTTGATTCCTGGCCTGTGGCTTTCGTCTCTGGCTTTCATGACTCCCTCCGGTGGGACTTTTCGCGCTTCAGTCTTTTGTAAGCCACTGTACATCCATTGATTAACTGGAGTGGAACTTTTTCTTGCTGACAAAATCTTCTGCCCAACTCTGCTAAGTCAGGGAGGGTTCCGTTCTTGGCTCTGCCCACCTTCCTTTCCTTGAACGCTCCTCTTTTAGAGGCTGTGTCGTGCTGTGCTCCTGCTGCTCCACCTCCAGCCATCCTCCTGCTCTGGCCTGTGTCTTCCAGTGACGCCAGCTGTCACCCTTGTAGCGGCTTGGGCCAGAGTTTCGTATCAGTATCTTACGATTGCTATGGCCACTTGGCTTTGGAGTAGATTTTGGGCTTCTTGGTCTGTTGAAGCTGTTTTAAAACTTTGAAGCTATAAAACTTTAAGATGACAGCCTAATGTTCCCCACCAATCTCATTTGCTTCTTCGTGTTTGGTTTGACTCCTGGTATCTTAAGCACATCCTTTTTCCATTTTCTTTCTTTGATTTTGGTATTTCTTATTTTACCATCCTTGAACCCTAGTTCCATCCCCTTCAGAAGTTGGTAGTTGATGTAATTTAGAAACCATTTGACCTTCTGTCTTATTTTTCAACTTTTTTTTTTTTGGTATAGTTCTTACTGCCAGATTTTCTACTCCCGTGGAGGTCACTACTGTCAGGAAAATCATTAAAATGATAGTGGATATGGTGTTGCTGAGCCATGCTGTTTGCTCCGTGTGGGCTCTGCCTTTGCTGCTGCAGACCGTGGATAGCACCTTTGAGCTGTTCTGTCCTGTAATAGCTTCTTGGTGCTTGTTAACTGCTGGCTCTGACCTGTTCGTTTTGCCTTACTCCCTGGTGGGGAGTGTTCCTTATGCCGGGATCTAGTGCCATATGCTGTTATGTCTGAAGGCTTTGATTTTAAGACATGACGCTTCCCATGAAATTTGTATTCTATTGGAGAATTCTGACAACTGTGGTAAGTTTAATGGTTGAGATATCCAAGGGTACTTTAGGGTCTCAGAGGACAGGAAGTCATAGGATTGCTGTGTCAGTGGAGACGGAACACAAAGGGAATGCATTGGGAGGTGTGAAAGACAGACCGTGGGGAGTGAGCCTGGGCTATAGAGTGAGGAGAAGTGGCAGTGGTAAATGCGGGGTGCTGGAGGTACAGACCAGTGTGCCGGAGGTAGGTCCCAGAGCAGTCTGGGAAGTTAGTCCAGTGAATTTAAAGATAGGTCACTGGTACAAGAATCAATAAACTAGTTTGTTGAATTTACTTCAACGTTGGAACCCATGTGCCAGAAAATTCTTTTCCCCTCTGGGCCTCAAAACACCCCTGTATTTGGACCTCCGCTTGCTCAGTCTTTCTGTTGTGCCTGTCCTTCTTACTGTTGTGCATTAAATTCTTTGAAGTGTGCTGCTGCTGCTGCTGCTGCTGCCAGCTCCTTGATTTGAAACCTTCAGAGGCGCCAGTTGTTTGTGGGGACATGCTCACAGCCCATTCAGCGCTTGTAAGCCTGGCATCTTGACCCGGGCTTGGCGTGGCCAGTTCCCCCTCTGCCCTTCAGCTTCTCCAGGTCTTCACTTCTGCCGGTGTGGCCCTAGGCTGTGCTGCTTAGCTTTGGGTGGTACTGCTAGGAATTCTATTGATTATTTTTGCTTTCAAAATAGGTAATAAAGAATTCCTTTTAAAATAAGTTTTCTGGGAACTGGAGAGATGTCTTAGTGGTTAAGAGCATTGGCTGCTCTTGCAGGAGACCTGGGTTTGGTTCCCAGCACCCACATGATGGCTAACAGTTGTCCCATAACTCCAGTTCCAGGGACTCCGACACCCTCTTTGGTCTGCAGGCCCTGCACCACACGGGCGCACTCACACACATGCAGGCAATACACTTATACACATTAAAAAAATAAAATAAATATTCTGTCACATATATATGAAACTTTTGTAATTCTAATTCAGATTAAGCTATAGCAATAGAATTTACATGAGCATTTAGAATTATTTTAATAAAGCTTTGTATATATCTACGAGTATTTTACTATGAACTTACTGGATTCTTATCAGTATAGTGTGTTATTATTTACAGTCTGAGACATTTTCATCTTTCAGGAAGCTATTGCTGTTAATACACCTCACCTTTTTCAGTTTTCAATTTGTAAGGAACTCTTGCTTTTTGAATTCTTTTTTAAGGATTGATTTTTTTAAATAAAATATTTATTATTTTTATTTTATGTGTATGCTTATATTGCCTGTGTGTAGGTAAGTACACATGTGTTGTGCATTGCCTGTGGAGGACAGAAGAGGCTGTCGGATTCCCTAGAACTGGAGTTACAGACAGTTGTTAGCTGCCATGTGGGTGGTGGGATTCGAACCCGGGTCTTCTGCAAGAACAACCAGTGTTCTTAACCTCTGAGCCATCTCTCCAGCCACAGGATTGATTTTTTTTGTTTCACATATGTATATGTGTCAGTGTGTGTGTGTGTGTGTGTGTGTGTGTGTGTGTGCATGCGCGCGCAGTTGCCTGCAGATGCCAGAAGAAGGTGTCTAATTGCCTGGAACTGGAGTTACAGGAAGTTATGAGCTGCTTGATGTGGTGCTGGGAAATGAACTTGGGTCCTGTGGAAGAGCAGTAGCGTGCTCTTAACCCTCCGAGCCGCCCTCCAGGCCCGCCCTCTGCATTTCAGGAGTAGTCCTACCATATTGCTTAATATGCGGTAAACTGTAAGACTTGAATTTAATTTGTCACTCTAGATATTTATCATTTTCCGAAGTATACTGTTAGAAATACTAACCTTTGTTTGTTGTTTGTTTGTTTTAGTGAGGAAGTCTGTATTTTATCAGCATCTGGCACAGCAGCTGTACTGAACCCTCGATTCCTGCAGGATGGCACTGTGGAGGGCTTTTTGGAACAGAGGTGGTCACAACAACCAGGCTTACCTTCCTAGGGGCAGAAAGGGAGAGGCTGACTTTTTCAAACTTTCAGAGTCAGGATAGTTTTCCTCTTATCATGTAGCTGCTGGTGGGATAGTATAGGAATTGGTACCAGGTACTTTGCTGATTTTCTGCCAGACCTGTGGTAGCGGGTGTGTAGGACTCTGTACTCTATTACATATTGTCAGTGTTTGGTAAAGTCTCGTGTATCACTGCCAGCAGAATTTCAAGTGTACGTTTTTTAAAGCTTTGTCAGAAAATAGAACTAATTTATTTAATGTTTCCTCTTTTTGTCTCACTCTCCCAAAACAGAATT